AGTCAGGAAAAACCTGATTCAATTCCTATATACTAGCTGTGTGATCTTGAGCAAGTAACTTGTCCACTCAATATTCTCAAGCAACTCTGTGGGACTCTTAAGTTGGTGAAGAAAGTTTACATACTTAGAGTTCCCTTCATTGATGAAATCATAAGTTCATCAAAGGTCTAGGGCAGGGATGGGGAACCTGTGGCCTCGAGGCCACACGTGACCCTCTACGTCCTCAAGCGGCCCTTTGACTGAATCCAAGCTTCACAGTCAATGGGCTGCTTGAGGACCTAGAGGGGGGCAGCTAGGTGGTGCAGTGGGTAGAACACTGGCCCTGAAGTCAGGAGACCCTGATTTCAAATCCAACCTCAGACCAAACACTTGACATTTACTAGCTGTGTGACCCTGGGCAAGTCACTTAACCTCAATTGCCTAAGAAAAAAAAAAAAAAAAAAAAGACCTAGAGGGTCACATGTGGCCTTGAGGCCACAGGTTCCCCACTCCTGGTGGGAAAGGAAAAAAAATGAGGGACTAATAGGCATTGAAATGGGTGTCCTCGCTTAAGATATAGCCCCTGCCTTGGAGTATGTCTAAAATAAGGTGAGGTAGTAATGAATAGAGTGTTGAACTGAGAGTCAAAAAGGCCTGAGTTCAAATCCTGCCTCATTCATTAGCTAATTGTGTGACCCTAAGTAAGTCACTAAAATTCTCTGTGCCTTAGTTTTCTCATCTGTAAAATAAGGAGATTAGATTCAATGGCATCTAAGATTCTTTCTAGCTTTAAATCCATGGTCCTAAATTACTTGTGACAAACACCTATGAGCTGCTAAAGGATTGTTATTGTTAAAGACCAGACCTGTGATTTAATTGGTTTAGGTAGCAACCAATAAAGAAGCTCCCCCTACCAATTCAGACACATGTTTATTCTGAAAGGTCTAGCCTTAGAGAAGTGCCTAGAACATCGGGAGGTCAAGAGACTTGCCCAGGGTTTATTGCTGTTCAGCCATTTTTTCAGTCGAGTTCAAACTCTTTGTGACCCATTTGGAGTTTTCTTGGCAATGATACTAGAGTGGTTTGCCATTTCCTTTTCCAGCTCATTTTACAGATGAGAAAACTGAGCCAAACAGGGTTAAGTGGCTTGCCCAGGGTCACACAGCTAGTACATGTCTAAGGCCAGATTTGAACTTAGGCCCTCATGACTCAAACTTTAGCACTCTATCCGCTTCGCCACCTAGCTGCCTAGGGTTACATAACCAGTATATGTCAGAGACAGGATTTGAACTCAGGTCTTCTTGACGCAAAGGCCTGCAAAATCCACCACCCCATGATGCCTGTCATTAAAGGGCAATAGATACCCAACAGTAAAAATGCTCCTCCAACTTAATATCTCAAGCGAAAGGGAATTATAGTGGGAAGAGAAGAGTTCTTAAGAATGACGGCAGGAAAGGGAGTTTTATAATTGGAAAGTGAGTTTTCAGAGACAAAGGTGGGAAGTTTTCAGGTCGTAGAGGCATTTAAGGGTTTTCAGAAAGCCTAGAGAGAATTAGCAAGTAATAGGCAGGTATATATTAGTGAACTCTATGGAGACTATTTAAACTGACCCACAAAAGTTATTTATTTGCTTACTTTCTTTTAGTTTGTTGATTCAATTATAGGATCATAGATTATAGTGAGAAGGAAACTTTTGTTACTATTGTTCAGTTATGTCCCACTCTTCATGACCCCATGGACCATAGCGTGCCAGACCCTTCTATCTTTCACTATCTTCTGAAGTCTGGCCAAGCTCATGTTCATAGAAATAAACTTACTGATCCCCTAATCCAACCCCTTCATTTTAGCCCAGTGAGGCTAAGTGATTTATCCAAGGTCAAACAGATAGTAAGTGGGAGAACTAGAATTCAAAACCATCTGATTCCAAATTCAGATAAGTCATATACGATGAGGAAAAACAAAGTGATGCCAAAAGATTTATTCAGATATACACTTAGTGCATACTTAATACCCTTATGAAATCAATCGACATAGAGAGAACATTGCATAACTGTTAACTCTAAAATCTGTATTTTTCCCCCTCAAATGTATTTTAAAAGTTACTAGACTGGCACCTGAGTAAAAAAGAAGATAATGACTTCCCCCAGTAGGTATTCTTAAAGTTTTTGTAATTTTGTCCATGTGATACCAAAACATCTGGATAAAACAATTAAAAAATTACACAATCTCCCAGATTTTTGTTGATACACTGGAAACATCTTAATATTCAGGATCATTTGGACAAAGCACCTGCATGACTTTGGATTTTTTTTAACCTTTTATCTCAATGAAAATTAATTCTCTTTGCATCTTCCTCTATGCTGAGCATAGTGCTTTGCTCATGACATGTGTTTAATAAATTGTTGTTTACTGAATGAGTGGCTTGGTGTCATATAAACTCAATCACAAATGATTTGTGAATATCCAAGCAATATTCAAAATATTATTTTCCTTTCATTAAAGAGTCATTCCACTATGGTTTGCATCATATGTATAATCAATATCAAATTGCTTGCCTTCTCAAGGAGAGAGTGAGAGAATTTGGAACTTAAATTTTTTTAAATGAATGTTAAAATTTTTTACATGTAATTAGGAAGTATCTAACAAAATGAATAAAAATATATAGGAAAAAATGTCATTCCAATGGATCTTTTGGAGAAAAAGACACAGTGTTCTTTCCTGGTACTATAATTATGTTATTTCATTGACTGAAATTTAATCGATACAATTTCATATTTGGGATACTTAGAAACATCTGGCCATTTGGCAGTCTATCCAGATGACAGATAAGGCATAGTAGTATAGTAGAATAAGATGGATTTTTTAAAGATAGCCTAGGTTTGAATCCAGGCTCTACTACTTAATAGCTGTGTGACTTTGCTCAAATCACTTAAACTTTTGGGCCTCAGTTTCCTCATCTATAAAAAGAAGTTGGACTAGATGATCTCTGAGGACACTTCTAGTTCTAATTCCTATGATCTGTTAATCTGTCCCTTCTTATTTGCTTATTGTGGCACAATATAGTAAAAAAAACAACAACAACAACAACAACAACAACTTCAATTCACCTAAGCAGAGAAGCCTGACTTCAGCAAAGAAAATGAGATAATTTAATATTGGAGCTAAAATTTCCAGAAGATTGAAATAACAACACACCTAAACATCTAAACAAAAGGTAAGAAAAACAAAATGCTGATTCAAATGCTACTCTGACTTTTTTTTTCTACTCCAGCTTCATGAGAGTAACAAAAAAAGTACCTGTTCTGAGATCAGATGATATCCTAATCTATTTATAGTCAACCAATCACCTAAAGTCTGCACACCCTTGCAATGCCTAAAACACAAGAAAAAGGGAAAAGATAGCATTTCAGCTTTTGCTCAGAAATTTCCCGTTTGGAAAGTTGGATCTCAAACAAAAACCTGATTGGTTATTTTCATCTGTATCTTCAAGGGTTCTCATCCATTCCCAAGGACAGAGGTGTTGTTCAAACTACCTTTCAATGCAAATGTGAAGCAATAGCATGATAGGTCAAATTTATTTTTTAAAGTAAACTATGATATTAATATTGAGGTTCTTTTAACAGCTGCCCAAAAGATATTAGGTAAAAGAATTAGAACACAAAGGAGGGGAAATTGGCCAACTTATTTCCATGATCCAGATTTCCATCTGTAGACAGTTTCCATACTTGTATTTCCCCTACCTCAGTGAAATAACAGGTTTGACCAATTCCCAATACTCCAATAAAATAATTTTTTTTCTTAAAAGTCATGAAGAAGCAACCATAATAGTAAGGAGTAAATGGTTCAATATAGTAAAAGAGAGGACAGTTATATTATAACAAAAATGTGTTATTGGTAGGTTGAATACAATAGAAGATGAAAAGTTAATATTATAAATTTAAGCAGTTTTTTTAAAAGAACAAAATTGAAGAAGACAGAGTCAAAATGATTGTGCCTGTGCTTTCAGAAAGCAATTAAACTGGAAATGTTTCTCATTATATAAGAGTTATCATGTTAGGAAATGCTTGTGGGACAACACTTGATAAAAATGGTCATTTTTGTAACTTTTGAATTTAAGCTGAAGAGAGAAATGTTGCCATTACTGTAAATAATAATTTTAAAATTCATGGATTATTCCACATTTCTCTGTCAGTTCCTTGATTATACAAAGACATGTAGTCAATACATTTTAAGTCTTTACCACCCCACCTCCTTCCCTAAAATTAGACGTCATTGATGTTCAATTCAATTGTTGATAGCTATCTTTTCATAAACCAGATACAGATAGATAAACACAATGCTGAGAAGAAAATGCTATGCTTCTTCATGAGAAAAAAACCATACTCTATTTTCCATTATGATTTAAATTATTTAAAGTAGTAACTTTTAAAACCAATTGCCCCTCAAAATATTCATACTTTCCAGTATGGATCCTCAACTGAGGTTTTTTGTAAGTTTGCCTTCAGGTGAAATGTAGTCTGTTAACGTGTTGCATCATATCATATCATGTTCATGTAAATTACATAACATGAAAATTACTGCCTCCATTCATGCAGTTTAAATTGTATATGTTGGAATTTGCTTAAAGTTCAAATAATGCAACATTATTTAGTCCACATTAAAAGCTGGTGGCATTTTGACTATTCCTCTAAATTTTAATGTTAAGGAATCAGTGAAGACACCAAGGTCACATTAGCAATCACCAAATGCTAATGCATCTTACTTAGACATACAGCATGTTCTTGGACATAGTTTCCATTATTTTTGTTAGAATTCTGAATTTATCTGATTAATAATGCTAAAAACAAGGAGCTTTGTCTTTTAAATATTTACAGGAAAATCATGTGACAAATAATTTTCCTGATTACAGTATTCTAAAATGATCATACTAGGTACTTTACAGTATTATTCCTGCTTCATTGCAAGCAATGAGATTACTCAAGGACAGCATTCCACACCCTTCAGAAATTATCAGTACTTACTTTCCCTGTGGCTTGCCAGGTAAAATTCATGGAATGAATATTAACAGGAATAGCTGGCATTCTCTGTTGAGCTTTTCTGAAATCATGAGTGAATGGGGCCATTTTCCCCTCTGAAACAATCAGAATATCCTCTTCAAAACCTGTTTTAGAAAACAAACCAAAATATGTAAACCTGTAAGAGGGAGGTCATGTATTTCCAGAAACACCTGCCTTTCTTATCTATTTCTTTTGAAACAGCAAAGCTACAGAGATGACCATTCAATTATATGGGAAAAGAGTGATGCTTAGGACTGATGTTTGCTAGGGGGGGGGAAGTGTATAAGAGAGTGATGAATAAAAAGAAAGGCTGTATATACAACCAGACTTGAGGGTACCTAGAAAAGTAGCCTTGAGATACAATGTAATTAAGAAACGTATTCAATGAAGTTCCTTGGGATTAAAAAAAAAACAAAAACCAAAACCCTGGAATTTAAGGAGTTTTTCAAAGAGGAAAATACCATGATTTTGAAAGACTTTGTTTAAAGTCAGTGTTGTTATAAAGACATGTCAATTGCCCAAGAACTCTCTGCTGAACCGAAGTGGGAAAGGTAAAGGGCGATCTTACCTATGAGGACTCTTGCTTGGTGAGCATCAATCCACATGTACAAGCTGTCTTCTTGCTGTGGCCCAGCTTCAGTCTGTAGGACAAAAAGCCACGGGAGGATGCTGCAGAGCCGCACTAGAAAAGAAGAGAGGAAGCTTTCCCTGGCCATGCTGGGCAGCGGAATTTATTCTTGGTACTTTGCTGAAACTCTGGTCTCACGGAAACTCTCGTCTCTGCCCCACCCGCTTGAGCTTGCCGCTCGCTGCTCGCTGCGTTCGTACTACTTCTCCCTCTACCCCTGCTGGTCGTCCTTGCACCGCTGAGCCTGTCTTCTGGCCTCTCCTGGCTGCTGAAAAAGCAAGGATATGAGCTGGGGGGGGGGGGGGGGGGGAGGGGGGGGGGGGAGGGGAAGAAAGGGGGAAAGAGAGGAGGAGGGACTGCTGGAAAAAGGAGAGTGAAAAAAAAAAAAAAAACTCCAGACAGAAAATGGGAGAGAAGCAAGACAGTACGGGAGGGGAAAGGAGAGAGGGAGGGATAAGTGGGATAGAGAAGGAAATGGGATCAGAGAAGAAAGGGAGCGAGATAGAGACAGATAGAAAGAGAGAGAGTCAAAAAGAAACAGAGAAACAGAAAAAGAGACAGAAATAGACAAAAACGAGGAATCAGACAGAGACAGAAACGCAAAAAATGAGGAGATAGAGATCAAGTCAGAGAGAAAGACAGAGATATAGAGACAGAGACAAAAAGAAACAGGGAAACGGGGAAAAAGAAATAGATAAAAACAAAGAGAGGAACAAGGAGAGAGAGACAGAAATAGACAAAAACAAGGAAACAGAGACAAGAGTCAGAGAGAGACAGAGATAGAGAGACACAGAGAGAAAGACAGCTCTCACTCTGACTCTGGGAAAGGGACTGTTAGCAACAGAATCTGCGGGAGTAATGCTGGGGAACTAGAGCCAGGGGTGGAATAGAACCAGGGCTCTGACTGCTGTTTCATCGCCTTATCGGTGGCGCAGGAGAGCCCCTAAGTTTGGCACAGACCAAGTGTGGCGCAGTGCCAAGTGCTCAGGTCGTTCTGTAAAGTCTCCGTAAAGGGAAGGAGCTCAAAAGAAAGGCGAGCCTTTCGTCCCCCAAGAAGCCAGAACTGTGTTGGTGGAGGCTGTAGGCACGAACGCTAAGAAACAAGTGTTCTTGATGCTCCCACTCCCTTAGGCTAGAGTGCTCCGACCCTGGGACTGTTCCACTCCTTTACTCCCTCCATTGAGGAGTTGAGAGAGGGGAGAAGCACATGAAGAAGGTTAAATAATAAGATGAGACCCCAAATTTGTGGGGTGCAAAAATCTACAAGAAACAAAGACCACTGGGCTCTCCCATTCATGCTATTAAAGCCGCATTCATTATGTCTGCACCTTCTCTCTGCACATCATCTAAAACAGCAGCTTTTACTTGTTTGCAAAGATTTCATCCACAGCTACTCCCCATCCCCACCCCAGCCCATTTCATTCTGCTTTACTAGAAGCAGTCCCTCTCAACTCTAGCTAGAAGAGAGACTCTGTTAAATGGGCCTCAGTTTCCTGCTCTGTAAAATGAAGGGTTTAGACATCATTGCCTCTAAAGCCCCTTCCAGGTAAAACTCTAGGAATCCTGTTGAAAAGCTGGGGCTCTGCTATGTGGGACAAGCAGACCCCCCCCACCTCATGGAGTCTATCAGAGCTTTATTCCGACTCCAGTCAGTCATTGGAGCATAGATCTAGGGCTGAAAGAGACTCCAAGATCATAAAGTCCAAGGGTTCTTAACCTTTTTGTGTGTCATGGACCCCTTTGGAAGTCTGGAAGGCCCCTTCTCAGAACAATGTTTTTAAATGCACAAAATAAAATATATAGGCATAAAAAAGGATATCAATTACATGAAAATGCAATTATCAAAATGTTTTTAAAAGAAGTTTTCACGGGATCAGGAGAAGAAGCCCTGATCTAGTTCAATCATTTTATTTTTCAGCTGAGGAAAGATGAGGCTGTGACTTGCTCAATGTTACACAGCTCTTAAATGAGGCAGAGTTTGAGTTTGACTCCACAGCCCATGCTCTCTCCAATGTATCAGTCAGTAAGTCAGTCAACAAACATTTCTTACATGCCTACTATACACCAAATTCTGTTCTAAGCAGTGTAGTTTCATGGTTGTTGATAATTTTTGCTTTAAATGTTTCATATAAGAACTGAACTGCCTGAAGAAATTTCTCTGAACACAGAACTAAATCCCTGAGCCCTACTATGTAGTATCAAGTGCCCAGCCATCATGAGAATCCTTCAATTTGCTTGTCCTTTAATAGACTTGGAGAGAGAGAGCATGCATAACTCAACACCACTGAAACCTTAAGGCTTAGGGAAAAAATAGCATCCAAACCACAGGTGTTTTCAGGACTGTGGTGGGGTATGCAGGGCCCCAGGAGGTATACCCTACTCTTGCTTCCCTCCTGACTCCCTGGACCTCCTCCCTTGCCCAAATCAAAAGGAGGCTAAAGGGTTTTTTTTTTTTTGAATGTCAGAAAGTTATAGTACTGAGAAAAACCTTGTTTATTTGTCTTTGTTCTTTAGCACCCTACCTCCCCCTGGACAAATGCCACAGATTAAGTGTCTGTCTGGGTTAGGGGTTGTGTTTCACTTAGTTCTTTGTGGGAGAGTGGATCCCTAAAGAAGAAAAAACAAACAAATCCTGAAAACACAGAAGCAGGAAGCATACATTCAATAAAATAAAGGACACTGGGCCCTTGGATCACAGAAGTCATTAAACAGCCCCAAAACGGGAGGTTTTCCAATTAAGAAAAACTATTAGTCCAAGGAGAAAGTTGACCTAAGACACGTCCTCGAAGCATTTCCCTTTTGACTGCATATGCACGATTTTATCAGAGTATTTTTAGAGAGAATAAAATACCATAATCTTATATTTAAATCAACCATGAGCAAACTCAAGGTTTTTGAAAATAAATAGAATTTGTATGTTTACAATGTTTTCCAACTATTCTTCCTGTAAAATAACAAAACTGTTTTAGTCTGTCTTAAAATATTTTCCTTTACAAGGTGGAACGTTTTTTTTTTTTTTTTTTTTTTACTTCAAAGAAAGTATTTTCATTTACATGATGGATTAAAAATGTTAGGCATCTTTTAAAGGATTTTTAATGACCTAGGCTCAGTTGGCACTTGGTTATATGTCTTAATATCACAAAATAACAGATTTCCTATTCAACCTTGCAGGTGCAATTTTAACTGAGAATTTTTCAGTTGACTGAGAGGCTGCCTAAGGCTCTATGGCTCTCAATGCAAGGAGGCCCTCTACAGGTTGTCCTGGTCAACTACAAGTTGATAAATTAGGAAAAAAAAATGCCCCTGCATCAAAGATTGTCTTCTTTTGTATGCAATGAGGGACTAAATTATCTCCCAATAAGCCCCTTCTAGGCATGATTCTTTTCCAGCAGTAGAATTTAATATTACTGTTTGTCAACAATAATGTAGGACAGTAGAAAGAATGTTTGATTTGAACTCAAGGGTCTTGGGTTTAAATTGCTATATAACCTTGAGCACGTCACAACACCTACCTGTTGGTTTGAGTTCTGCCCTCTGGGATTAAGCAGAACAAGACTTCTTGGTCTTCCAAAGGATAACCTGTCAAATACACAAAGAACCTATGATCCTAGATTTTATAGCTGGAAGGAACCTCAGAGGATACCCCGTACAACCCCTTCGTTTTACATATGAGAAAACTGTGGCTCACAGGGGTTGTGACTTGCCTGGGCTAAGTAGCAGAGTCAGGATTTGAACCTAGGTCCTCTGATGTCAACTACAATACCATTTCTATGGCATGTCGTTGCCTTCCATGGAAATAGATACCATGGGGACTCCTAAGGCTTCCCTTCCCCAAGCTAAATATTCCCAATATTCCAAATATTCTTCAGTTGATTCTCAGGTGATGTGAACTCAAGGCCCTTCACTATCTTTGACGGGCACCTCTGGATTCTCTCTGGATTGTCAAAGTCTTTTCTAAAATGTGGCACTAACAACTGAATATCCTATTCCACGGTTAGGTGATGCCATAGTGCACAGACTACCAAGCCTGGAGGCAGGAAGTTGTTGTTCAGTCATTTTCCAGTTGTGTCCAACTCTTTGTGACCCCATTTGGGGTTTTCTTGGCAAAAATACTGGAGCTGTTTGCCATTTCCTTCTCCAGTCCATTTTACAGATGAGGAAACTGAGGCAAATAGGGTTAAGTGACTTGCCCAGGGTCACACAGCTAGTGTCTGAGTCCAGATATTAACTCAGATCTTCCCATCTTCCAGTGCTCTAACCTTTGCACCAGAAGACTTCAGCTCAAATCCAGCCTGACACTTACTAGCTGTGTGGATCTAGGTAAGTCAACCTCAGTTTCCTTAACTGTAAAATGTAAATAATAACAGCACTGACCTTACAATATTTTTATGAGGGTTCAATGAGATCCAATACCTGGGCGTATAGTAGGTGCTATATAAATTCTTATTCCTTCTTATTCCTATATCCTTCTTATTCTGTCTCTTTTTGTCCATATAGAGTCTAAAAAGCATAGAATATGGTAACACTATCACCTCTCCAGTCCTAGAGACAGTATCTCCAAATGTGGCCTAAAAGCACATTATTTTGTTTTGTTTTGTTTTTGACACAGTTGAATCATATTGAGCTTGCAGGCCACTAAAACCCTCAGATCTTTTTTTTTTCAGATGAATTATTATCTAGTCATGCCTCCCCCTCTTACATACAAAAAGTTCATTTAGGGAACCTCTCATTTAACCTTATTCAAGTTAATAACCTTGAATACAAGGTTATCAAGATAACTAATATTCTAACTTATCAAGATATTTCTGGACTCTGACTCTATCACCCAATATATTAGCTACTACTTCCAACCAAGTATGTGTCATCTGACACGTGGGACCAGCATGCCCTCTAAATCTTTACCCAAGTTGGCGATAAAAATGTTAAGCAGCAGAAGATCCTTGGGGTGTTCCACTTGAGACTTCCTTCCAGGGTGACATCAAATAAGCAGATTTCACTTAGGTAAATGTTTCCATGTCTATGAACTAATAACAATAACAGTCATAATAGCTAATGCTTATATAGTACTTTGAGTTTTGCAAAGCTTTTTGCCTATATCATCTCATTTGATTATACACACACATACATACATATATATATATGTATGGGCAGCTAGGTGGCACAGTGGATGGAATTCTGGGCCTAGAGGCAGGAAGACCCATCAGTCTCAGACACTTTGCCCAGTGGTAGGACCCTGGGCAAATCAATTAACCCTGTTTCCTTCAGTTTCC